GTAATGTTTGGGCACTTTGCTTCCTGCACGCAAGCAGCACGCTTTATTTGTCTCTGTCAAGATAATTGTGTGGATAATTTTCGCGACGATCCGCCTGCTCCCGGATTGTTAAGCTGAGAGGATTTTTTGGTGGGTATCCATGGAATTAGCATATTCAGATGCCGAAGATGCAAGCACATTATTCATCGTGATGTAACCCATATAGAGGTTAGAGGTGTTAGGAAAGACTTGACAATTATACTACATTATCCTGAATATAATATCAGTCTATATTCTGGAGAGAGAAGTGTTGTAGAGACTTTCCACGCTCGTTGGGAAGTAGAAGCCCACAAATCTGTGCGGCGAAAATTACCAGAATTCTCCAAGGCTGATAGCTGAGCATTATAGCACTTGACTGCTAGCGGCGAATCAGCGCCTCTCATATTTTGTTTCCAAGAATCCTTTCAGGGGGTGGAATGGTGCCTTAGTTCTCGAATCTCAATAACAAAGAAAACCAACCAAAGAAGAGAACAGAAAAGCCTAGAGTCATGAAGTTAGGCGTGGAAGAACACAAGCTTGAAAGTGTAAAATTGATACAACTCCCTTGAGGTCAAAACATGCACCGTAATTTTGTGATATACAATGACGAATGGAAAAAATCTATTTTCTAGCCACTAATTATGTACAAATTATTTTGCACTTTCCCGGCTCTTGTGTCTGTTGTCACTTCCCACCGTCAAGTTGAGCAGGAATCTCATGAAATTTAAATGATATTCTAACATAAGAAGGCAGAGGAAACGTTGTTTCGTTCCGAAAATGTCTAAGATAGTCGAGGTTCTTTGAGTATCTCGTTTCACATGAGAACTCTTTGCATTAACGCCAACGTCCCAGAAAATCAAGTGTTGGTTTGTGGTAAAGTTGGAAAAATTCAAATCCAAATATATTTGGAAACATGTTTGTGTGTTGTGAATGGATGAAGATCTTCTGGTGGATAGAGTCATCACTATTCACTGTGAATCGTTATCCGTTCAGGCGCGGAAATCTGATTCAGTTTGTCCTTACACATTTAAAACTAATATTTCAAGAACACAGATGGGTTTACGAACAGGTTTTCGGCAAGGTCTTTTCAAGTCATACAATTGCAAAGGTTAAGAGAGCGGTATTTAACATATTTGAATGAGTATGGTGTAAATGGACAGGGAATCGACTGAGATGACATTGGCTACCTATGAAAGAACCATTAGTTCAGGTCGCCAATAGGATGACTTGAGCTAGTCTGCTCGGGGGGTGTTGTAGTTGTGTGTTCAGCACACGGTGCATGTGTGGGGGGAGGTGGGTTGGACCATGGTAAGTACAACACACGAACAAAGCGTTTTTGCCGACAAAGGATCGGGTCGCGATGTCGTATGGCGATAGCTTCAACCACTGCAATTGTGCGCTGCTGTACTGATCTGGGTTGGTTGGCCGGCGCCTTGTAAACAACGCGGAAACTTTGGCTGGGTATCACGTTGTGTGCAGTGTCAGCTAAATGTTGTACTACGGAGCTGGTTATCGTCCTCCTGGTTCCAGAAGCTAGCCAGGGTGGATTGTGTTCCTTCATTCTTTGGCTGAGTTGCCTAGTCGTGCGTCCGATGTATTCCGCTGCACAGCAGCAAGAGAATGAGTAAACTAACATATTTTGGGCGTGGACCGGCACTCTATCCTTGAGATTAAAGGGGCACAAACGATTGCTGGTGAACCAGGTTCGGAGTTTTGCTGCCGGGAAAACTTTGTTCAGACTGGTGGAAAGTCCTCTGTTCAGTAGATCGGCCGGTATATCTCCCCTAAACGGAAGGCTAATGTAAACTTGTTTCCATCCAGCTGTTGCTGTGATGGTGTTTGCTTTCTCCGTGTTCAAATGTTTTGTAATAAATTTGTCGGGGAATCCATTGTCTCTCAGGATGTTGGTGAGAGTCCGGAATTCTTGTTCTAGTGCATCCTCAGAGCATATTTTCTTCGCTCTGTTAGTTAGGCTGCGGATCAGGTTCCGTTTCTGCTTTAGTGGCACGAAGCTGCAAAAGTTGATGTATTGACCTGACCAAGTAGGTTTTCGGTACACCGATCGTTTCAGTGTACCATCATGACGTCGCTCAAGGCCAACATCTAGGAAGTGGAAGAAGTTATGGGTTTCTCCTTCCGAGGTGAACTGAATGGCAGTGTGGCCCTTAGTGAACTCTTGTTGGAGTGATTCCAATTCGTCTTTGTTGTTAACAACGGCGAAGACGTCGTCAACATATCGGCAGTAGTAATGCATATTCTCAATGTTAGCCTTTAAGGGACCATTTTCAAGTTTACTTATAAAAATATTGACTAGCATTGGGGCCAGTGGTGAGCCCATGGCAACGCCGTCAATTTGACGGTAGAGCATGCCATTGAACAGTAGTTGCACGTTCAATGTGCATCGCAGGAGGAGTTCACGCAGCTCGTTGAGTGGAATAGGTAGCTGAAAATTATTTGCTTCTATGTAGTTGCATAGGTGGTTAATCGTTTCAGTGATGGGGATGTTAGTGAACAGTGAAGTCACGTCCAATGAACACATGAACGAATCTTTCAGGTGACTAGCTCAAGTCATCCTATTGGCGACCTGAACTAATGGTTCTTTCATAAGCAGCCAATGTCATCTCACTCGATTCCCTGTCCATTTACACCATACTCATTCAAATATGTTAAATACCGCTCTCTTAACCTTTGCAATTGTATGACTTGAAAAGACCTTGCCGAAAACATGTTCATCAACCCTTTTGTGTTCTTAATATAAATGGGAATTTTCGGAATACTATTTCAAAGTTTGTTCGCAACACATTAAATGAATGCAACTAAACGGGTTTGCCCTAATATTATTTTGCCTACGTATTTATCCTTAACTTCGCATGCCAGTAACATAATTGGTACAAACGTCTTTTTTGAACCACCAACCTCACAGGGAACTGGTCCTAAAGATCGGAAAGAGCTCAGGCTTCCCAGTTCGAATTCTATTCACATGAGTCCTGATGGGTTTTCATGCCCCAGCAGATGTGATGAAGTGTACTGGTAATGTGTATTGCAGCAATAAGAGTGAACAATCATACGCTAATATGCACTTCATGTTGACGAGTTACTGCACTAAATCACCCCGTCGTGTTTGCAAACCTTACCATCAGATGGTCGATTTTTGTGATCTTCATCCATTCAAAAAGACTATGCATGAGGTGCACACCGCATGGAAATTATATACTTTATGTGCTGAAATAATTTCTAAAGCGAGTACCTCCTTTTGCACAGCGGATTACAGACCAGACAGGATAATCCTTCACACATCGCATTTTGTCGTTTGATTCTTCGACCTGGTGGTAATGCCACCAAGCTTTCGCGGCATATTTATGAATTGATTCATTTAAACAGTTATATTGAGATTGTCCAAAGTCTGATATGGACTAAGGCGAGTAGATACCGTTAGAGTTCATTGATCTACTAGGATGTTGCTGCAACTATTATTCTCACTGGCCTTCGGAATTGAAGTAAATAAGACGCTGGTTTCGTGACTGTATGTTAGCTTGTGCGTGTTCGATAAACATTAGGTTTGCACAAGGTCGCTGGCTGTGCTTTGTTTTCTATTGGTCCTGATCATATCAGGGTTCCTTTCAATCTTGAAATTCGGCGCCAAACAAAATGGAGTGTTGAGTGGCCCTATCAAGAAGGAAGCATTTTTATCGCCAGCCACTGGTCTACTGAATCCTTCATAACAAACAGATTTGCAGTATATCTCTCATTATTGAACGATTACCTACACCATGCGGAAACTTACGGATACCCATGTGATTCCCTTGTTTGACGCTACTAAAGCGCACCCATTCGAGAGCATATTACCGTGTTGAAGAAGCCCTTTGCTTACGGCAGTTAGGCAGTAAGGAGTTGAAATCGATTGGCTGCAATATAGCCTGTGTTAGATACAGTAGTGTCCAAAACATATTTTGACGGACATGTGGTTACGCTTTGAACCGAAACACTTCGTGCATCGGTTTCAAAAATGCCCTACCATCTGAGGGACGCCACAGTAAGTGTCTATAAATAGACCGAGGATACATGTCTTCTTTGATTTAATCTATTAGACGTGATGCTTTAGGTTAATTTCCCATGCGAAACAGGTGAGTCAGGATGCGGCCATGTCCGCTGCTTTGTGTGAACATACTGCAAAACTGTAGGATGTTATATGATGATAAACAATTCGCGAACCATTTACACTGAATTGAAAATTGAAATTTGCAGAGTAAAGTACTTAACAGTGTTGAAGAAAGCAAACCGTTTCTGTGAATATTTCGTGACGTCTTGCATCATCTGCTAGGAAGAAAGATATGAATTTTCAATCATCTATGGAAACGTCAGTACTAACGCGCATGTCGTCTCAACCATGATCTTCAGTACGCACTCTCGCCTGCTGAATTCAAAATACTAGACACCAAAGCGAAGGAAGTAAAATCAGCTCAAGATAAACAGTGAAAGGGCAGACAAATACGTAAGTTTGAGAAATTTCTTCCTACCGCTCACGGTTCTAGTAACACAGCAGAGAAGATTAAGTCATCCGCTAGCTATTGTAGCGTAGTCAATTTATCAGACAGACCCTTAGGTGAAGAGGA